CTGTAAAGCACTAAGGAAGTCTGAAACGACCACAAGTGGTGACAGAGGCATAGATGCAATACAGATAAGTGCTATGAGAATGGCATTCAATTCAGCCATAAAAATGCTAGCCGGGATAATAAATGCCCTCGCACGACGCTCTCCGGAAACGCTGCTGCGAATCCAAAGCTGTCGTAAGACTTGGAACCATCGGTGTACACTGCGATGGTGTGAGAATGAGATCAGAAGTGGTTAAGACAAAGAGCGAAAAGTTACCATAGGCAGTTGGGCTTTCGCACATGGCAGTGGGAAAGAACAGACACGAACTGTTGGAACTTCCCAAGGGGGTAGGGAGAAGTGAGATCCTACATGAACATAGAAAGGTGGTAACTGAAAAGAAGACGAGCAAATGTAGGTGAAGAGAAAAGGGACGGAATAAACAGGGGCGACTAACAAATAAAGAACATCTGGTAACATCAGTGACTATCCAATATGTGGAAGGATTGCGGATGTCATGAGAGTGAACATAATAGCAAAGGCAATGAGCATCACAGCGAACAAACAAGGATGGAATATTCGCCTCTGCATAGAGGCTCTCAACCGGTGAAGAGTGAAAAGCACTGAGGCATAAACCTAATCCCTGGTGATGGATGGGATTAAGTGAAATAAGTAAACTTAATTAGGAAACAGCAATGTGACATTACAGTTGTTAAGAAAGATGGTAAACTCGAATAGAAATTCAGTCGGCCCATTATCAGTGAAATGCTACCATTTTAGCACTGTACTGCTGCTGCTATTATAATTAAAAAGAAGCACTAAACCTACAAGGGTCATACAGTGCAGCAGGGCAGAGGATAGTGCAGGGGTAAAGGGGTAGCAAGAGGGAGAGGTAGAAAGCGCTGTGAGGAATGCTAGGGGCAGGATCATCAAAGTTTGTGCAGTAAATCAGTTACTGTCAAAAAGTCGATGAGAGTCTGAGTCAGAGGTGGGTCTGTCAGCAAGGAGGGAAGATAAAGTAAGGGCATTAGTGAAGTGACGACATATGAGGTACTGTACTGTTAGTAATGCCACATTTTACTATTTATTTATTTATTTATTTATTACCAATTTGAGCACACATACAGAGGTACAAAAAAATACAGATAAGAGCAGCATGCCAAAGCCACTTATACTATGCATAGCATTACGGGCTGGCTTAAAATTAACTTAAGATTAACTAAGCAATGATGAAATCAGTGATAAAACATTAATGTAAACAGATTACTATAAAGCACAAGTGAGTATTACAAAGACAGGTCATATGGTTGCATTCAGTCATATGAAGGATTCTGTTAGGTAGTGTATTTAAAAAATAATAAAGTTAGATTCGGTTTTAGGTTTAACATTTATGTGATATAATTGTGAGAAACATTTAAGATATACAATTTATAAGGTTCAGTTATTCAGTATTTATTTGGTTTTGGGTGAGTAAGTGATCTTTGAGAAGAGACTTGAATTTATAAACAGGTAGTGTTTCTTTTATATTTACAGGTAATGAATTCCAGATTTTAGGGCCTTTTATGTGCATTGAGTTTTTGCATAGTGTGAGATGGACACGAGGAACATCAAAGAGTGATCTGTGCCTTGTGTTATGGTCATGTGTTCTGTTGAGGTTGGCAAGGAGATGTTTGAGGGGAGGGTTAATATCAGAGTTAAGTATTCTATTATGTAATAGTGCGTAATATATGGTGTATGTATATTATGTATTTGGATTGTCTGTGATTTGTATCTTGCAGCCTTTTGTTGGGTAATTAGTGGTCTGAGATGGTTAATTGTTGTTGAGCCCCATGCACAAATTCCATAGGTGAGATAGGGGTAAATAAGAGAGTGATATAAGGCCAGGAGGGCTGACTGTGGAACATAGTACCGTATCTTCGATAGTATGCCTACAGTCTTGGAAATTTTCTTAGAAATTTGTTGTATATGTGTATGAAATTTGAGTCTATTATCAAGGTGGATTCCTAAGAATTTTCCCTCTGTTAGCTTTGTGATAGGTGATCCGTTTATCATTATGTTAAGAGGGACATCTGTATGCATTCTTTCACTGATTTTTTTTTGACATCTCAAGTTTGTTTTTGTAACAAGGATACCTGAGCTGTAATTTGGGTTTCTAAATATGATTTCCTTAGGCAGATACCATATTTTAATTCCTAAATAAAGTACATTAGCCATTGAACATGATCGCTTATCAGGTCAGGCAGATAGGTCCCCATTTACTGCTGGGTCAGCAAAGTGAAACTGTCCAAATCATCTAAGCCTGCCCAGGATTCTTATCAGGGTCTCCACTTGTAAAAAATGCATAATAGCAACATACCATAGTCCTTTGCCTCCTTTCCTTCTGTTGACTGTGCCACAAGGGAGGTTCCTTGATGCTGGCGAGAGGCTCTTGCTCCAAGGAATGGGACCTGATTGCTTACAATTACTTTAGGTGCTATATGACTAAAGCTCTTAACAGTTTCTATGACTGTACAGTACTAATGGT